ATAAATGAATGGGGGCGACCTTATTTGGCTCACAGGCCTTAGTTTGGTGACCCATGATTTAGAAGTACAGGTCTTTAGAGAATTGATGACAAGAATAGCATGGGATCCTGTAATAAGACAACCTACCCTGGTTTTGAGGAAGTGACTTTAAACAAAGACCTTAAGAGTAAGGAGGAATTAGTTCAGCGGAGCGGCTGACGTCTTTGGAGATGGTGTGGGGGGTGATGCTGGAGATGTGTGCTTCAAGCACAATACGTGCACTGTGGCAGGTACAGAGAAGACCCTGAAGAGGATGAATGGTTCATAAGAGTTGGAGAAGTTATATGGATCTAGTGTTAGTGAAGCCATTGCAGAAACACAGAATTGACTTAATTTACTTGCTAATCCAACAAAAATTTATTTATTTTTTGAGATGGGGCCCTGCTCTGTTACCCAGGCTAAAGTTCAGTAGTGTGATCACATCTCACTGTAGCCTTGACCTCCTGGGCTCAAGCCATAATCCCACCTCAGCCTCCCGAGTAGCTAGGACAAATACTACTTTTTTTTTTTTTTTTTTTTTTTTGAGACAGTTTTGCTCCATCACTCAGGCTGGAGTGCAGTGGCATAATCCTAAGTCACTGCAACCTCTGCCTCCTGGGTTCAAGCAATTCTCCTACCTCAGCCTCCCAAGTAGCTGGGATTACAGGTGCCCACCACCACATCCAGCTCATTTTTTTTCTTTTTTTATTTTTAGTAGAGATGAGGTTTCACCACATTGGCCAGCCTGGTCTCTAACTCCTGTCCTCAGGTGATCCACCCGCCTCAGCCTCCCAAACTGCTGGGATTACAGGCATATGCCACCATGCCCGGCCACTTTTTTTTTTTTTTTTTTTGAGACGGAGTCTCGCTCTGTCATCAGGCTGGAGTGCAGTGGCACAATCTCGGCTCACTCCAACCTCTGTCTCCCAGGTTTAAGTGATTCTCCTGCCTCAGCCTCCTTAGTAGCCGGGACTACAGGCACACGCCACCATGCTCAGCTAATTTTTGTATTTTTAGCAGAGATGGGGTTTTACCATGTTGGTCAGGATGGCCTTTTTTTAAAAAAAAAAAAAAAAAAAAAAAAAAAAACTATTTTATTTTTTGATATAGTAGAGTGCAGTGGAGTTTTGTGGCCCAATCTCGGCCCACTGCAGCCTCTGCCTCCAGGGTTCCAGCAATTCTTCTGCCTCAGCCCCCTGAGTAGCTGGGATTATAGGTGCACGCCACTACGCCGGGGTAATTTTTGTATTTTCAGTAGAGACAGGGTTTCACCATGTTGGCCAGGCTGGTCTCGAACTCCTGACCTCAGTTGATCCACCTGTCTCAGCCTCCCAAAGTGCTGAGATTAGAGGTGTGAGCCACCATACCTGCGGCCAGGATGGTCTTGATCTCCTGATCTGGTAATCCGCCTGCTTGATCTCCCAGTGTGCTGGGATTACAGGTGTGAGCCACTGCACCCGGCCTTTTTTTTTTTTTTTTAAAAGGTGGAGTTTCACTGGGCGAGGTGGCTCACGCCTGTAATCCTAGCACTTTGGGAGGCGGAGGCAGGTGGATCACCAGGATTACAGTAGCGAGGATTACAGGCATGTGTCACCTCTCTTGGCTAATTTTGTATTTTTAGTAGAGATGGCGTTTCACCATGTTGGTCAGGCTGGTCTCAAACTCCTGACCTCAGGTGATCCACCTGCCTCAGCCTCCCAAAGTGCTGAGATTACAGGTGTGAGCCACCATGCCTGGCATGTACAAGACTAGATCCATGCTCCTAGGATGCCTGTATTCTAGTGTAGGAGATACACTAACAACAAATAAAATAAACCTTGCTCTAAGAGCTAAGAAGGAAATACACATTATCATCTCTAAGTAAAGTGAGTTTACTTAGGCTGAGATGTCCATAGGTATGATGTGACCTGTAGAACCAGGAGGAGAGGTTCCAGTAGAGGAAGTGGGCAAGAACATGGTATATGATAGGTGATGTCATAAGGCTGATGGCACCAGAACATGGTGAAGGCAGCAGTCTATGAGGGAGAGGCCTGCTCAAGCAGGGCATGAAGGCCACAGAAAGCCACTGGAGAGTTTTAAGTAGAGAAATGACATAATCTGCCCTGATCGGATCTTGTTTCATGGAAAAATGAACTGGAGGAAGATTTGAGTGAAAACCAGGGAAACCTGAGGATACCATCATGGTTGCCCAGGCAAAAGATGGTGGTGGCTTGGAATAGGGTAGTAGCAGTGAAGAAGAGAAGAGAAGACAGATTATAAATAAATTCTGGAAGTGGAAGGGACAGAACTTATTGAAAGACTGGGGAAGAAGAGTAGTAAAGAAGAACAAAAATGATTCTCAGAGGTTTATCTTTGGTAACCCTGTGGATGGGAGTACCACTCAGTGAAATGAGGAGGATAACACTTAGAGTGATCAGAAAACCAAAACTTTCTTTTGGTTATGTTAGCTTTGGGGTACCTAAGAAATATCCAAAGGGAGATAATTTTTAATGCGTGATTCTGGACCACAGAGGAGAGGGCTGGACTAGATATTTAAACTTTAGAGTTGCCAACTTTCAGGTGGTAATTAAAGCCATGGGACTGGGCCACCTAAAGGAAAAACATGCAGAGGGCTCAGGATTAAATCCTGTGAGAATTTCAACATATATATATATTTGAGATGGAGTCTTGCTCTGTTGCCTATGCTGGAGTGCAGTGGCATAATCTCTGCTTACTGCAACCTTTGCCTCCTGGATTCAAGCGATTGTCCTGTCTCAGCCTCCAAAGTAGCTGGGATTACAGGCATGCCATCACGCCCAGCTAGTTTTTGTATTTTTAGTAGAGATGGGGTTTTACAATCTTGGCCAGGCTGGTCTTGAATTCCTGACCTCAAGTGATCCACCCACTTCGACCTCCCAAAGTGTTGGGATTACAGGCGTGAGCCACTGTGCCCAGCCCCAATATTTAGACAGTAGACAGAGAGCAAAAGTGGCTAGCAAATGAGACTCAGAAGGAACAGCCAGAGAAATGGAGAAAAACCTAGAGTGAAATGTCAATAAAGCCAAGATGAGAGTTTAGAGACAGGAGTAACTATGTTGAACATTGCAGAGACAAAGGAAGATGAGAACAAAGTATCCACTGGATTTGGCAACATAGAAGTCACTGGTGACCTTGATCAGGGCAGCTTCAGTGGAGTAGACAAAGTTGCTGCCGTGGCACTTGCCTACTAAAAGCTGCCTCAGGAGGACTGCTTGAGCTCAGGAGTTCCAGGTGGCAGTGAGCTATGACAGAGCCACTGAGCTCCAACCTGGGCAATAGAGCAAGACTCTCTCTTTAAAAAAAAAAAAAAAAAAAAAAAAAAAAAAAAAAAAAAATGGAGTGGGCAGAAGAGAAACCAGATTGGTATAAAATGAAGAGTAAGAAAGCTGAGTTGGTAAAGGTAGAAATCTATGAATGAAATTTTTAAAAAATAGCACATTACTTGGAGAGGAATGTGAGGGATACCAGAACATAATTTGTATGCTGATAGGAACAGTTTTACGGAGAGACAGGATTTGGTGACTGACTGTATTGGGAAATAGCGGAGAGGAAGGAAGCCAAGGATTATAGGCAAGATTGATAGTAGTGCCATTTATTAAGATCAAGACTATAGAAGCAAGGGCAAATGTATTTGCCTACAAAGATCATATGTTTCCACCACACGAGAGGCTTTCAGAAGAACTGTAAAATTTGACTAAGCCTCTCCAGACTGCACCACTTTCTGATGTAATTAATCTCTTGATGAAGTTAAAACCTCTTAGAGTCTCAGGCTATGCTAATCCAATCTAGCAGCCACACAAGCCAAGTGAATAATAATGGACTTGTACTGGTGAAAGGGACACTACTCATGGAAAAGGGCCCTAAATTCACAGCTGATGGAAGAGCAGTCATACTTTTGTAATCAAAACACAGAAGACCTACAAACCGGTAACTTTCAGACAGTGGAACCAGACATTTTTCCGAAGAAATTAGTCAAATTCAGTATCATTCACACTCCCTAATGCTCATTAATGATGTAGCTTCATACACCCTTGTTACTTCTGATATTACAGTGAATTTCCATGGAATTATTTTTTGAGAGCTTAGGTCTCTCAAATAAGCATCAGTTTGCGTAACAACCCAGGGAAATGAATTTCTCCATCTGGTTCAAAGGAGTGCCTGAGGAGAAAGGCAGAAACTAGACAATATAATTTTGACCTAATAAGTCATTTTTATGTTCATGATAGGCGTCTGGCAAACGTCTGAGGAAATGAATGTACGGGGAATGAATGGGCTTCAGGTACTTCTACAAGACCTTCGCCCTTTAGAAAGGAATGAAGGATGCAACCATCTACAAAAAGTTCCGTTTGTATTATTCAGCAATATGTAAAGAGCTGGAATTTGGCATCCCCCTCTAGCCTGATGGCCGAACTGCTGAAAGCTCCGTAGTATTCATATCCCCAGAACAAACAACTCGATCACCTGATCCCCGCTCAGAAGTCCCAGGTCCCTTCCATCCCCAGTGCTTTCCCGTGGCCCAGTTTTAAAAAGCTGCGGAGGGAAGGACGGGATGCCAGGAAGCCTGTTGATTCAACATGCCACCCAATTCACGGGTTCCAGGTGTTACCGGGCTGGGAAAAGCTTTGAGACTCTGAGCAACCGCTTTCCTCCCCTTCCCCCCACAGAGCAAGGAAGGCCAGGCCCCCCCTTCTTCCCGCATACGGCTCCCCACAGCCTCTTCCCTTACGGGACCAGGCCCTAGAAGCCTGGTTCCCCACCTGACCGATGCGAGAAACACTCTCTCTAGTCGGAACTTTACTTGCCTGAAGCCGGCCGCTCCTCCGGTGCGCTAAGCCCCCACCGAGGAAAATGGAGTCGTCGAACCGAGACTGGGAAAGGATAGTACGGAGCCACCGCACGACCCCTCCGCCGCCACCGCCGCCGCTGCTGCGTCAACGTGCTACGTCATTTCCGGCTCTCTGTCACTGGGAGTGGGCGGGGCATTTCTTGTTCTCGCTGCAGCTTTTAGGGGGTTTCGTCCTGGAGGTGCAAAAGCTAGCCGAAGCGGCTCAGGACGGCAGCTGTCACAGGGCCCCCGGGACAGAGCAAGAGTTTCTTAAGGAGCCAGGCCCAGCCGGTTTCTCCGACCGCTCTAGCAAAATAAACCATAAAGATCAGACTCGGGCTTTTTCACTTCCTTCTCTTCGTGGTTTCGCCTTCAGCTTCCGGTTCCGGGGAGGGGACGAGTTTTCTTCGAAGATTTGGGGCTCCGCGATACAGCTAGGATGGCCGTGGTACCGCTACTGTTGTTGGGGGGTTTGTGGAGCACTGTGGGAGCGTCCAGTTTGGCTGTCGTTACTTGCGGCTCCGTGGTGAAGCTACTCAATACGCGCCACAACGTCCGACTGCACTCACACGATGTGCGCTATGGGTCAGGTAATGCTGGGGACCGGTCTTGGGTGGGCTGGGGAGGCCGGGGAGGCTCTGGAGGGGCGGGGCCTACAGAAAATTTGAGGGTGTGGTCTGGGAAGTTTAGGGGTTCCCTGGGAAGGTTCCTCAGGTCTAGAGAGTCGGAGAACTGAGTTGTTCTAAAGCATCTTAACAGCAAAACCACTTAATATTTGCTAAGCTACCGGCCAGGCATGTTACCTGTGTAATTTTTCCGATTGACTTTCCTGTAAGGTGATACGATTGTTATCCTCATTTCGCAGTTGAGGAGACAGACGCAAAGAAATTAAATCGTTTATTCAAAGCTTTGCAGCTCGCAAATGACAAAGTCGGGGTTCTCTATCCATATCTATTCAGATTCAAAGCCTGCTTTAGAGACAAACAAGAAAATTACAGTAAGTGCTGTGTCTGAAATTTTAAATTTACGGAAAGTACTGTATCTGAAACTTTAAACTCCAAGAGCTCACTCTTTGACTACAACCCTTTGTCTTCCAGCTCTTTTGCATCTCATACTTGCTCCTCAATTTGTATCTTTTGGTCCCCTTATACCCAAACCTTAACCTCCTTCTTGTAACGGACTTGGAGCAGTGACAAGAATTGCAGAGAAAAATGCTTTTTTTTTTTTTTTTTTTTTTTTTGAGAAGGAGTCTCAAAAAAAGAGACTCTGTCACCCAGGCTGGAGTGCAGTGGCCTGATCTCAGCTCACTGCAACCTCTGCCTCCCGGGTTCAAGTGATTTTCCTGCCTCAGCCTCTCGAGTAGCTGGGACTACAGGCGCATGCCACCATGCCTGGCTAATTTTTGTGTTTTTAGTAGAGGCAGGGTTTCGCCATGTTGGCGAGGCTGGTCTCGAACTCCTGACCTCAGGTGATCCACCCGCCTCGGCCTCCCAAAGTGCTGGGATTACCAGTGTGTGAAAACCAGTTTTTTTGGCATTTGAAATTAAAATGTTTAGGAATAAATTTTATGTGGATTCATTCATCAAGCAGAGGTCTTAATGAGTTCCTACTATATGGCTAGAATTGTACTACATACGGGAGACTCAGTAGTGATAATCATTCAAGCAAATTACAAGACAATAAAAACAGACCAAAAGAAGAAAATCTTATCTGTCTGTAAAAGAAGATAAACTTAAAAAAAAAAAGACAAAATAAAGAATGAAGGTCAGCTAGTGAGATGTGAGAGGCATCTAAGAATAATTAGTAGATTTCTGTCTTGGATGACTGATGATGCTGTTTGCTGAGGGAGGAGAGTTCTCTCAGGTGTGCTAGTGTGTGGTTCATGATTCCCAAAACTTATCTGATCAGTTAGACTAGGCAAGGACCTGAGTCATCACTGGGATGTTTTAATAATCCTAGCACTCATTCAGTGAAGACTACCATGTTGTTAGGCTTATTTTAAAATTTGTTTCGGTTTCCTACTTTGGATCTACTGAATTAGAGAGGTGGTGGAGAGAGGCTTGGCAGTAGGGATCTGAAGGTTTAAAAAGCTCTTCAGTAATTGTTTAAGAGGTAGAAACAGATGAAAGCCAGGCATAGAACTTTCAGTATTCCAAGGTATAAGGATTTGGAAGAGGAAGTGAAGGGTTGAATAGAAAGCAGAAAATGTAAGAGACAAAATGTAGACCATGGTTTAGTGAAGTGTGGCTGTGAGGACCCAGAGAGCTGTAAGGCAGTAATCAGAAGTAGGAAGGGAGAGTTGGTTTGCCTTTTCTTTTCTGAAAGAAGATATGAAGTCATGAGCTAAGTGGAAGAAGACAGTAGAAAGGAGCTGATAATTGGCTACATTTACCCATATAACTGGCACAAGGCATAATGGTATACATGGTAAAAGGGAAATATCAAAAGGCTGTGATCAGGCAAGGCCATGGAGCTAAAGGCAAATCTAGAAGGAATAGGTAAAACTATTGAAAAGTATCTGGGAAATACCGATACTTTCAAAGACCTGGGTAGTGAATGAAGCCTAGGAAAGAGTATCCCCGGAGTTTATGAGAGTAGACCGTTTGGGGAAACCTGACAAATTAAAGCTGTTGGAAGAAAGATGACTTTAGTGGGATATGATGCAGAATGGTTAAGACTGTTAGTTTTAGAGTTGGACTGCCTATATTCATTCAACCCCAGCCTTGTTTCTTTTTTTTTTTTCAAGAGGGAGTCTTGCTCTGTTGCTAGTGGAACACAGCGGCACGATCTTGGCTCACTACAGCCTCCACCTCCTGGGTTCAAGGCATTCTCCTGCCTCAGCCTCTTGAGTAGCTGGGACTACAGTGTGCCACGACACCCATCTAACTTTTGCATTTTTAGTAGAGATGGGGTTCACCATGTTGGCCAGGATGGTCTGATCTCTTGACCTCATGATCTGCCCACCTTGGCCTCCCAAAGTGCTGGGATTACAGGTGTGAGCCACTGCACCCAGCCGCCTTGTTTCTTAGAGTTGTGTGACCTTGGGTATGCTGGGGGAAAATGATACCTATTTCAGCAAATACATTTAGGTGTTAAATAAGAATATTCAAGCAAAGGACTTAGGTCAGTGCCAGATACCCAGTAAGTGTAAGTGCTCACACACTGTGGTGCTGAGCAGTTTTAGTAATACACATTAGCTATCAGTGATTATTTATATATCTCCCACCCCCCTTTTTTTAAAGCCTGTAGCTACATTTTTTTTCTTTAAATTTAAGAGAGTCTCACTCTGTTACCCAGGCCAAGGTGCAGTGGCAAAATCACGACTCATTGCAGTCTTGACCTCCTGGGCTTAAGTAATCCTCACACCTCAGCCTCCTGCGTAGCTGGGACTAAAAGTGTACCCCACCACACCTAATTTTTTGCGTCTTTTGTAGTGATGGGGTTTGTCTTGTTACCTAGGCTTAGTCTTGAATTCTTGGGCTCAAGCGATCTGCCCACCTCAGCCTCCCAAAGTGCTGGGATTATGATGGTGGCCGTTGTGCCCAGCCTCTTTTTTTTTTTTTTTTTTAAATTAAAGATGGGGTTTCACCATGTTGGTCAGGCTAGTCTTTTTTTTTTTTTTTTGAGACGGAGTTTCGCTCTTGTTGCCCAGGCTGGAGTGCAATGGCGCGATCTCGGCTCACCACAACATCCACCTCCTGGGTTCGGGCAATTCTCCTGCCTCAACCTCCTGAGTAGCTGGGATTACAGGCACGTGCCACCATGCCCAGCTAACTTTTAGTATTTTTAGTAGAGACGGGGTTTCACCATGTTGACCAGGATGGTCTCGATCTCTTGACCTTGTGATCCACCCGCCTTGGCCTCCCAAAGTGCTGGGTTTACAGGCTTGAGTTATTGTGCCCGGCCGGTCAGGCTAGTCTTGAACTCTTGATCTCAGGTGATCCACCCGCCTTGGCCTCCAAAGTGCTCGGATTACAGGCGTGAGCCACCACGCCCAGCAATATTAATTTTTTTTAGGCCTGGTATAATGGCTCACACCTGTCATTCTAGCACTTTGAGGTGGCAGATTTGTTGAGCCCAGGAGTTTGAGACCAGCCTAGGCAACATGGCAAAACTCCACCTCTACAAAAAATACAAAAATTAGCTGGATGTGGTGGCAGGCATCTAAAATCCCAGCTACTTGGGAGGCTAGGGTAGGAGGATCACCTGAGCCTGGGAGGTCAAGGCTGTGGTGAGCTGTGATTGTGCTACTGCACTCCAACCTAGGTGACAGAGGGACACCATCTCAAAAAATTTATGTATAAAATAAGATTAAAAAAAATAAGGCCGGGCATGGTTGCTCAAGCCTGTAATCCCAGCACTTTGGGAGGCCAAGGTGGGTGGATCACGAGGTAAAGAGATCGAGACCATCCTGGCCAACATGGTGAAACCCTGTCTCTACTAAAAAAAAAAAAAAAAAAAAATTAGCTGGGCGTGGTGGCGTGTGCCTATAGTCCCAGCTACTTGGGAGGCTGGGGTGCAAGAATTGCTTGAACCCAGGAGGCAGAGGTTGCAGTGAGCCGAGATTGTGCCACTGCACTCCAGCCTGGCGCCTGGTGACAGAGTGAGACTCTGTCTCAAAAAAAAAAAATATATATATATGTATACGTATATATATATGTATATAGGTTGGGCGCAGTGGCTCCTGCCGGTAACCCCAGCACTTTGGGAGGCCGAGGCAGGTGGATCATGAGGTCGAGAATTCAATACCAGCCTGGCCAAGATGGTGAAACCCCGTCTCTACTAAAAAGACAAAAAAAATTTAGCTGAGTGAGAATCTGTCTCAAAACACACACAGACCGGATCTTGCTATGTTGCTGAGGCTGGTCTCCAACTCCTGGACTCAAGGATCCTCCTACCTTACCCTCCCCAAGTGCTTGAATTATCGGCATGAGCCACTGTGCCAGACCTACAAGAATACTTTTATAATAATTGACCACTCATGGGAGTTGGGAGCTGTAATGGCTGCTTGGATTAAAGCTGGCAATGTAAAATAGTCTCATTTTAATTGTGAATAAAAATTTTATTTTAATAGTTAATGAACATGAATAATATTACAAACGTGAAAATTATGTGATAGGACACCTTAGGGGCTATCCAGGCTAGTGTGTAGAGGTTAGTACTGCCTGTGCCTCAAAAAACTCACATACCATTTGTGCCTTTGATATCCTTTGATGCAAATTGTTAGAATTTTCTTTTCTTTTTTGGAGATGGAGTCTTTCTCTGTTACCAGACAGGAGTGCAGTGGCGTGATCTTGGCTCACTGCAACCTCTGCCTGCTGGGTTCAAGCAATTCTCCTGCCTCAGCCTCCTTAGTAGTTGGGACTACAGGCGTGTGCCACCACACCCAGCTAATTTTTGTATTTTTAGTAGAGATAGGATTTCACCATGTTGGCCCAGGATGGTCTCGATTTCTTGACCTTGTGATCTGCTCAGCTTGGCCTTCCAAAGTGCTAGGATTACAGGCATAAGCTGCCACGTCAGGCCAGAATTCTCTGATATGACATACTGTTAAGTATACTTGATCATGTAATAACTAGTATTATGTGGACACATTTCATATTTTTAAATAAATATTTTAATGTTGTAGAAGAAAAAATATTGCCAAGCATGGCATTTACTCCTCACCCCTTCTTACCTGTTTTATGACACAGAGCACAATATTGGCCATAGGCAAGAAAGGTGAGGTTGAGCTCAGTTGCCTTTTTTTTTTGAGGAATGGGTGCCAAATTTTTTATTTGTCAATTTCTTGCATTTGATGTACACAGTGACTGAAATTCTTTGCCACAGTCCTTCACTATGACACAACTGCAACCAGCCACTTTACAGGATTTTCTTATGTGTCATTTTTACAGAGGCTTAGCCATTTCTCTGGTTTCTTATGGTCATCAATCTTGCCTTTTTTTTTTTTTTTCTTGTATCCAAAGTCACATGAAAGCGTCATCAATCTTAATTGGGTTGATTTGGTGTCCAGTACCAAGAGCCACCACTAGCTTGACATACACAGGCTCTTCACAGTTGGATGCAAACAAAGATGGGCTTGGCTCTTGTCTAAGGCTTTGGCAGCTTTGCAGATTCCACCTAGTAGGCCATCATGGATGAGGGTGGTCTTCAGCACCTCTTGTAAAGCAGTATTAATATCCATTACACCTCCAGTGGCAGTGTCTTCCTTGGCCATGGTGGTGGGTTACTGGTGAAGCTGAGTCTTGAGCACACTTGAGCTTCTGTTTCTGAGCATGTTGTCCATGGCGGAGAAAGAGAGTTGGCTTTCTTTCCTTAACTGCAGGTAGTGGGCAGCAGTCAGTGACAGGTGTAACCTCTGTGGATGACAGCAACAGTTACTGGACGATACGGGGGAAGACCGCCACAGTGTGTGAGAGGGGAACCCCCATCAAGTGTGGCCAGCCCATCCGGCTGACACATGTCAACACTGGCCGAAACCTCCATAGTCACCACTTTACTTCACCTCTTTCTGGAAACCAGGTGAGGTGGCTTTTAATGGATTGATTGATCATTGCTGCCCTGAATTACTCAGTGGGTGGTGGTTTGATTTCTTGGTTCTTAACTGTTTCTTTTCCAGGTGTAGATATTCTCTTTTGTGTAGACCTAGGGAAATGGCTCTGCTTTTTTGTTTTTTTTGTCACCCAGGCTACAGTGTAGTGGCATGATCTCTGCTCAGTGCAACCTCCACCTCCTGGGTTCAAGTAATTCTTCTGTCTTGGCCTCCTGAGTAGCTGGGACTACAGGCATGCACCACCACACCCGGCTAAGTTTTGTATTTTTAGTAGAGACAGGGTTTCGCCACAATGGTCAGGCTGGTCTCAAGCTCATGACCTCAGGTGATCCACCCACCTCGGCCTTCCAAAAGTGTTGGGATTACAAGCTTGAGCCACCATGCCTGGTGGCTCTGTTTTATAAATGGGAAGAAAATTGTTTCTGGTCCAAGTGGAGACAACTAAACTAAATGGAGAAATGGGAAGGACAGACAGACTAGGTATACATTAGCATATCATAAGTTCTGATATCCTGCAATAAAGAAACCCAATGTTTTCCAACTTGCAGTTAGTTTTTTTTTTTTAAATGATGCTAACTAGTTACACTAGGAAAATGGATTTGCTATTGTGTCATTATTATTTTTTTAAACACGAGTCTCGGTCTGTCACCCAGGCTGTAGTACAGTGGTGTGATCTTGCTTGCTGCAGCCTTGGCTTCCTGGGCTTAAGCACTTCTCCTACCTCAGCCCCCACTACAGGCTTATGCCACCATGCCTGGCTAATTTTTGTGTTTTTTTTTGTAGATGCAGGATTTTGCCTTGTTGCCCAGGCCGGTCTCGAACTCCTGAGCTCAAGCTATCTGTCCACCTCAGCCTCCCAAAGTACTGGAATTACAGATCTAAGCCACTGCACCCCGCTTTGTGCCACTGTTTTTTTTTTTTGAGATGGAGTTTCGCTCTTGTTACCCAGGCTGGAGTGCAATGGCGCGATCTCGGCTCACCGCAACTTCTGCCTCCTGGGTTCAGGCAATTCTCCTGCCTCAGCCTCCTGAGTAGCTGGGATTACAGGCACGAGCCACCATGCCCAGCTAATTTTTTGTATTTTTCGTAGAGACGGGGTTTCACCATGTTGACCAGGATGGTCTCGATCTCTCGACCTCGTGATCCACCCGCCTCGGCCTCCCAAAGTGCTGGGATTACAGGCTTGAGCCACCGCGCCTGGCTGTGCCACTGTTTTAAGCCTTGAGTTGTCAGGGGATGTTGACCCCTTAATGACTCCTTCCCTATCCCCACTGCCTGTATACAGTTTTCCCTATTAACATCTTATCTTAGAAGGGTAAATTGGCTACATTTAATGAAGCATTACTGAGACAGTTTTATTAACTAAAGTTCACACTTTTTTTCTGATTCCCTTAGTGTCTTTTTTTTTTTGAGACAGAATCTCTCTCTGTCCCAGGCTGGAGTGCAGTGACATGATCTCCATTTGCTTCAACCTCTGCCTCTCAAGTAGCTGGGATTACAGGCATCTGCCACCACATGTGGCTAATTTGGGGGTGTGTGTGTGTGTATGTGTGTGTGTGTGTGTGTTTGAGTCGGAGTTTCACAGTGTAGCCAGGGCTGGACTGCAATGGTGCAATCTCGGCTCACTGCAACCTCTACCTTCCAGGTTCAAGCGATTCTCCTGCCTCAGCCTCTGAGTAGCTGGGATTACTGGCATCCACCACCATGCCCGGCTAATTTTTTGTATTTTTTTAGTATAGACAGGGTTTCACTGTGTTTGCCAGGCTCATCTCTAACTCCTGACCTTGTGATCCGCCCACCTCAGCCTCCCAAAGTTCTGGGATTACAGGCGTGAATCACCACACCCGGCCAATTTTTGTATTTTTAGTAGAGATGGAGTTTCATCATATTGGCCATGCTGGTCTCGAACTCCTGACCTCGTGATCCATCCACCTTGGCCTCCCAAAGTGCTGGGATTACAGGTGTGAGGCCACTGCGCCCAGCCCCTTAGTTTTTACCTAATGTTCTTTTTCTGTTCCAAGATACATTACATATACTTGTCATATCTCATTAGGCTGTTCTTGGGTGTGACAGTTTTTCAGACTTCCCTAGTTTTTGATGACCTTGACAGGTTTGAGGAGTGGTAGTCAGGTGTATTGTAGAATGCCCCTCAGTTGGAATTTGTCTGTTTTTCTTATGATTAGACTAGTCTTATAAAGGATTTGGGAGGAAGATCACAGAGGTAAAGTGCCATTTTTATCCCATTATATCAGGGGTATATACTGTCTTTATGATTTATGACTGTTGATGTTGACCTTGATTACCTGCCTGAGTAGTGTTTGTTGGTTGGGTTTCTCCTGTAAAGTTACTCTTTTCATTTTCCCCCTTTCCATACACTTTTTGGAAGTTACTATGTGCATTTCACTCTTACAGACTGGAGAGTTATGCTCTCTTTAAGGTAACCTTAGAGTGGAATATCTACATAGTGTATTTGGGATTTTTTCATATGGGGGAATGGAAAAAATTATTTATTTATTCAGTTATTTATATTAGTATAAACTCATGGATAGTTTATACTTTGTTATAATCTGATAACTACATTTTGTTGCTCAAATTGTTCCAACTTTGAGTATTAGGAATTCTTTCAGCTGGCTTTGTGTCTATTTGACAGTATCCCCTTGTGTGTGTGTATACTTGCATACACTTTAAAGCACTGATTTTTTTTTTTTTTTTTTAAGACGGAGTTTCGCTCTTGTTACCCAGGCTGGAGTGCAGTGGCGTGCTTGGCTCACCGCAGCCTCCGCCTCCTGGGTTCAGGCAGTTCTCCTGCTTCAGCCTCCTGAGTAGCTGGGATTACAGGCACGCGCCACCATGTCCAGCTAACTTTTTGTATTTTTAGTAGAGACGGGGTTTCACCATGTTGACCAGGATGGTCTCGATCTCTCGACCTCGTGATCCACCCGCCTCGGCCTCCCAAAGTGCTGGGATTACAGGCTTTAGCCACCGCGCCCGGCCCTTTAAAGCACTTCTTAACTTTCTGGCACCAAAAGATGCTACAGGCTTATCTTGTTTATTTCTTGCTCCAGTACTAGAATCAGCTATTTCTCCAAGGAACTATGCTTCCTTTTATTGGAGAGTGGTATTAAAATAAAGTTCTAGGCCTTATCTAAGCTTGTTGCTACTGTTTGGATGATAATCTTTTACAGAAACATTTCAGTAGCAACTTGACAGAATAAAGAATTGTATCTGGCCAGGGGTGGTAGCTCACACCTGTAATCTCAGCACTTTCGGAGGCTGAGGCAGGTGGATCATGAGGTCAGGAGAACAAGACTATCCTGGCCATGGTGAAAGCCCATCTCTATTAAAATACAAAAAATTAGCCGGGCTTGGCGGTGCATACCTGTAGTCCCAGCTACTCAGGAGGCTGAGGCATGGGAATCACTTGAGCCTAGGAGACAGAGGTTGCAGTTAGCCGAGATCGTGCCACTGTACTCCAGCCTGGTGACAGAGCAAGACTCTGTCTCAAAAAAAAAAAAAAAGCTGTATCTGTGTATGTTTACTCATGTATACATATATCTATAAATATTTATATGTGTAGCCATCTGTATCTATATATATATATTAAGTTAAATGAGGTTTCTTTTTCTTTTCCTTTTAAGATGGGCTCTTGCTGTGTTATCCAGACTGGAGTGCAGTGGCTATTCACAGGTGTGATCATAGTGCACTAGAGCCTGCCTCAACCTCCTAAGTAGCTGGGAATACAGGCATACCCCACTGTGCCTGGCTAGGGTTCTTATTGATGTCTTTAGCTATAATCCATTAGCACATAAATCATCCTAGCCTCCTCCCTGTGTTAATTTGTAAATTCCCACTCCAACAGCAAGATACCTTGCTCCCACGATCTGCCATTCATGTCTTGAACTTGTTCAGTTTCAGTATACAAACATAGCAGTGTCAGAATTACATACTGGTACCCTCCTGGGAAACAATTTTATCAAGTAGAGTGCACACACACATACACACACACACACACACACACAACCCTGAAATAACCAGTAATTGTTCAATTGCCATTGTATAGAAGCCGAATATTTGGCCTTGTGGAGAATGGGATTTAGATGAGGAGTAGAATATAGAAAACTTTCTCTTTCACTGCCTTTTTAGAAAGAAAGAAAAAAAAAATATAGAGAACTTGCTATGTTTTGCTCAGTTAATATTTGCTATCTCATTTAATTTTCACAGTTGCTCTGTTGGGTGATACTGTGATCATTTTATAGAGGAGAAAACAAAGTCTCAAAGGATTTACAGAGGAAGGGATCAAGTTGAGATTCAAGGTTGGCCTGACTCGAGTCCATTCCCTTTTGAACTTGTCATCAGGTCATTTAAAAGCTACTTAAGGGAACGAAGCAGTAATATTTAAAGTCAAATAATGAGAGATGTAAAGTATTTTAAGGGCTGAATGTGGTGGCTCACGCCTGTAATCCCAACACTTTGGGAGGCTGAGGCGGGTGGATCACTTGAGGCTGGGAGTTTGAGATCAGCCTGATCAACATGGTGAAACTCTATCTCTATTAAAAAAAAATACAAAAATTAGCTGGGTGTGGAAGCACTTGCCTGTAATCCCAGCTACTCTGGAGGCTGAGGCATGAGAATCACTAGAACCTGGGAGGTGGAGATTGCAGTGTGCCAAGATTGTGCCACTGCACTCCAGCCTGGACAACAGAGCGAGATGCTGTCTCAAGAAAATAAAGTATTTTAAGGCCAGCATGATGACTCACACCTATAATTCCAACACCTTGGAACAGCCAAGCGAGGAGAATCACTTAAGACCAGCTGGTTCGAGACCAGCTGAGGCAACATAGTTGCCTACAAAATTTTTTTTTAATTAACAGGGTATGGTGGTGTATGCATGTAGTCCTAGCTACACAGGAGCTGAGTCCATAAGATCACTTGTGGCACTGCACTCCAGCCTGGGCAACAGAGCGAGATGCTGTCTCAAGAAAATAAAGTATTTTAAGGCCAGCATGGTGACTCACACCTATAATTCCAACACCTTGGAACAGCCAAGCGAGGAGAATCACTTAAGACCAGCTGGTTCGAGACCAGCTGAGGCAACATAGTTGCCTACAGAATTTTTTTTTAATTAACAGGGCATGGTGGTGTATGCATGTAGTCGTAGCTACACAGGAGCTGAGTCCATAAGATCACTTGTGGCACTGCACTCCAGCCTGGGCAACAGAGCAAGATCCCAACTCTTTTTTTTTTTTGAGACGGAGTTTCGCTCCTGTTACCCAGGCTGGAGTGCAATGGCACAATCTCGGCTCACCGCAACCTCCGCCTCCTGGGTTCAGGCAGTTCTCCTGCCTCAGCCTCCCGAGTAGCTGGGATTACAGGCGTGTGCCACCATGCCCAGCTACTTTTTTGTATTTTTAGTAGAGACAGGGTTTCACCATGTTCACCAGGATGGTCTCGGTCTCTTGACATTGTGATCCACCCGCCTCGGCCTCCCAAAGTGCTGGGATTACAGGCTTGAGCCACCGTGCCTGGCCCCAACTCTTTTTTTTTTTTTTTTGAGACGAAGTTTCACTTTTGTCACTCAGGCTGGAGTGCAGTGGTGCGATCTTGGCTCACTGCAACCTCCACCTCCCGGTTCAAGTAATTCCCCTGCCTCAGCCTCCTGAGTAGTTGTGATTACAGGCTCCTGCCACCATGCCCAGCTAATTTTTGTATTTTTAGTAGAGGCAGAGTTTCACCATGTTGGCCAAGCTGGTCTTGAACTCCTGACCTTAGGCAGTCTGCCCACCTGGGCCTCCCAAAGTGCTGAGATTACAGGTGTGAGCCACTGTACCTGGCCAAGATCCCAACTCTTCAAAAGAAAAAAGTGCCGGGCGCGGTGGCTCAAGCCTGTAATCCCAGCACTTTGAGAGGCCGAGGCGGGTGGATCACCAGGTCAAGAGATTGAGACCATCCTGGTCAACATGGTGAAACCCCGTCTCTACTAAAAATACAAAAAAAATTAGCTGGGCATGGTGGCACACGCCTGTAATCCCAGCTACTCAGGAGGCTGAGGCAGGAGAATTGCCTGAGTCCAGGAGGCAGAGGTTGTGGTGAGCCGAGATCGCGCCATTGCACTCCAGCCTGGGTAACAAGAGCGAAACTCCGTCTCAAAAAAAAGAAAAAAGTCATAATATTTTAACACTGTAATAGAAAATATAAGGCACATATAGTATGAACTGTAAAATAAGTGTTTGGACGATAATCTTTTTCTTTCTTTTTGATGCCATGACTCAGATAGAAACCATGGATCATAATCTTATAGCAATGAATTTTTTTTTTCTTTTACATCCTTTGTCTTTTTTTGCTCTGTCATCCAAGCTGGAGTACAGTGAAAAGATCACAGCTCACTGCAGCCTCGACCTCCCAAACTCAGGTGATAGCTGTAGTAGCTGGATACTATAGGCATGTGCCACCATACCCAGCTAATTTATTTTATGTTTTTTCAGGATATTGTTTCGCTGTGTTGCCCAGGCTGGTCTCAAACTCCTGGGCTCAAGGGATCTCTCTGCCTCACCCTCCCAAAGTGGTAGGATTACAGGCCTGAGCCACTATGCCTGGCCACCTCTGATTTTTTGTTTCAAGGTGACCTTCTTTTTCTTCCCATTCCCTCCCACCCCTTTTCAAGCCCTTGTCAGCCATGCTAATGTTACTACCTTCTGTGTTTTCCAGGAAGTGAGTGCTTTTGGTGAGGAAGGTGAAGGTGATTATCTGGATGACTGGACAGTGCTCTGTAATGGACCCTACTGGGTGAGAGATGGTGAGGTGCGGTTCAAACACTCTTCCACTGACGTACTGCTGTCTGTCACAGGAGAACAATATGGTCGACCTATCAGTGGGCAAAAAGAAGTGCATGGCATGGCCCAGCCAAGTCAGAACAACTACTGGAAAGCCATGGAAGGCATCTTCATGAAGCCCAGTGAGTTGTTGAAGGCAGAAGCCCACCATGCAGAGCTATAAATCTAGAGGCTCTGAGCCACTGTTAACATAGTATTCATAGACATCTGTTGCTGCCTCACCTTGGTATCCCTGCCACAAGTTCCTTGGTCAGTGGCCATGTCACCATTGAGATGAAGACATACAGCAGAAAATAGTGGCTGTGTTTGGAAGCTTCAGCCCTGCACACTTGAACTTCACTCTCCCAGACTTGCATGGGTTGGTTCTTTCTGAGTAGAGGACTTGTTGGTAAAGGGGCAGATGTTTTTTATTCATATTGATAAACTGAGGGGAGCATCCCTCTTAGCTGAGAAACTTTTACTCCTCAGGAGCTTGGCATCATGGACTGTTAATGTATGTGATTTTTCCCCTATTTTCTCTCTCCAAAATGATAAAAACAATAATTTTATTATTAGTCACTATGTTATTTATTATGTGTGCTATTTCATTATCTGCGTGATCCTTGAGTCCTAAGACTCCCTGGAGATGCTATGAACCTTCAGTGTGTATCCTTTTAAGAACTTTACTTGCATCCAAACCTTTTCTCTCTCTACTTGGACTTCTCTCCAGACATCTCATCTTTAATAGATCTTTGATTAATTATAGCTAAAAACTCTCAAAAATACAGCATAACAAACAGCCAGAAATGTTTGCTTTGTATCTGTTATTGCAAATGAGAAAAAGGGGTGGGGTAGAAAGAAAGAACTAGTATGCACTGCTAAATACTAGGTACCATATTATAGATCTTACCTCATTTAATCTTCACAGAATTAGTATAGGGTAATACTACAGTTTTACCAGTGCAACAGAAAAGTTAAGTAACTGAATTCTGTTTTTTTATTTTTTGAGACAAGGTCTTTGCTGTCACCCACGTGGGAGGGATGTGATCACAGCTTATTATAACCTTGACCTCCTGGGCTCAAGTGATCCTCCTGTGTCAGTTTTTGGTTTACTGTAGAGATGAGGTCTCACTAGGTTACCCAGGCTGGTCTGGAACTCCTGGGCTCAAGCGATCCTCATGCTGTGGTCTCCCAAAGGGCTGGGATTACAGGGGTAAGCTGCCATAACTGGCTTACTGCCTGAATTCTTTTTTTTTTTTTGAGACGGAGTTTCGCTCTTGTTACCCAGGCTGGAGTGCAATGGCGCGATCTCGGCTCACCGCAACCTCCGTCTCCTGGGTTCAGGCAATTCTCCTGCCTCAGCCTCCTGAGTAGCTGGGATTACAGGCACACGCCACCATGCCCAGCTGATTTTTTGTGTTTTTAGTAGAGACAGGGTTTCACCATGTTGATCAGGATGGTCTCGATCTCTTGACCTCGTGATCCACCCACCTCGGCCTCCCAAAGTGCTGGGATTACAGGCATGAGCCACCCGGCCTGATTTCCTCTTTTCTTATGTCAGTTACAGAAAATTTGCTCCTGTAGCTTTCAATCATAGTATTGGTGAACAGAGATGGCTGCCATCTGCTGGAATTTCAGTGACTAGCAACCTTTTTTATTTTTAGAAACTTCTGGGTTTTGTTCTTTTTCCTATTTGTTAATGTAGAACATTTAGAGACCAGTTCTGTGCCAAACATGGCCCACGACATTAAAAGACTTGGTCTCTTTTACAAGGATTTGTGGTCTCAATAAATGGAGGCCATGAATTAGTTGAGTTTCACTGCTGCCTCTGCTGTCTCTCCCGCTCCCCGACTCCCTGTATTTATTCTACTTGTGTTGATCCCTTAAGATCTCTCCAGAAAGAAATAGAAAAATGATAAAATCAACATGTTAAGCTATGAGATAGTTGGGAGTAGGGTTAGTAACAGTCTAGGGAGAAGGAAGGAATTGTTAGTCTTGGCTGAATAAACAGATTAGATAACATGAACCAGAGTAGGGATATGTGTTGCATGGCACCCCTCCTTGACTTGGACAGAGGTTTTCAGTGAATTAGGCCTTCCTGAGCATTCAGAGGACGTACCCTGGGGGAAGGCTGCAGATTACAAGGAAGATGACACAATGACACAAATACAGTGCTTGAGAGGTAAGTATGACCTTGAAACAGCGTTGGCGCTCTTGGGGAGATGTGAAATCACTGATGAGAGGACTAGATAAGGGAAGAAACCAGTCAGAGAAATAAAAGCAACTTTGGGCCACAAATAGGTGAAAGATGAAATGGTGTTTTATCTGAGGGAGCCAAAAAGAAACTGAGTAAAATCCTGAAGGATATTTATGGAGATTAGGATGTGGGAGTGAAGGGGCATGAAAAGAGACATGACCTACTCCATAATACTTACTTTGAAACTCTCAGGGCCTGGCGCAGTGGCTGACGCCTGAAATCCCAGCACTTTGGGAAGCCGAGGTGGGTGGATCACCTGTGGTCAGGAGTTTGAGACAAGCCTGGCTAACATGATGAAACCCCATTTCTACTAAAAATACAAAAAAGCCGGTCGTGGTGGGGTGCACCTGTAATCCCAGCTACTTGGGAGGCTGAGGCAGGAGAATTGTTTGAACCCGGGAGGCGGAGGTTGCAGTGAGCCCAGATTGCAACATTGCACTCCTGCTTAGGCAACATGAGCAAAACTCCATCTCAAAAAAAAAAAAAAAAAAAAAAAAAAAAAAATCCTCAGGATTTTCTTAGCTTGTGCTGTATTATCAGTATCATTCAGATACTGATCCTTGGTAGCAGCACAGTAACTCTGAGGGAACTTTGTCCTGTTCTCTCATTTTCCAGAGAAGGAAGCAGGCAAAACTATGTATTGTCTATTTTATATAATTTTGCTTCCCAGATAAACTATTTTTTGCTAGCGGGCAAGAACAATATTCAGTACTTCTGCAGTATCTTCCCCTCTTCAGGGCCCAGTTCGTACTATAAGTAGATTGACCAGAACAGTGTTCAAACAGTAAATGAAGTAAAAACTCATTGACAAGGAACGGTGGCGCGCGTCTTTAGTCCCAGCTAGGAGGCTGAGGTGAGAAGATCCCTTGAGCCTGCAGGAGTTCCAGAGCAGACTCCGCACCATAGCGAGTCCTCGTCTCAAAAACAAAAAGCAAAAACAACTCATTAGTTTCCTCTGTGGATGGAATGGGGCGGGATTTTTGAGGCCTTTTAATTACCTCCTAGTTTCCGCCTCAGTAATTTTCAAACAGGATCTTGAATAAGATGCGAGTGCTGTACCACGTCTGACCGGGGTGTAACTTCCGCAGAACAGGCCTAAGTGGCCAGGCGGACTCCAACTCCCCCGACCCTGAAAGTGAGCTCTCCCGGCCGAAATGAGCCAGCCAAGTCCACCGCAGCCCAGGAAGTGGGCCCGGACTCCGACACCCACGGGTCCCCGAGCCCCGCGGTTCGGGGCACCGTGGGGAGCGCCCGGGGCGTGTGTCAGCACTCTGTCGGCTCCCAGAGCCCTCCCCCCGGGGCCACACCCGCTCCTAGCGCACGCAGCCGGTCGGCCCTGCCGGGTCGCGGGGCGGGGTGGGGCTGGGGAGGGAGGCGGTTGGCTGGCTGGCGGGCTGTGGGAGGCGGGGCTCGCGTGCGCACCAACGCTTCCTAGCTCAGCGCTGCCCCTGCGCGCGCGGCTGGTCGGCCCGCGGCTGCGCTGCGCGGATCCGGCGTCGGGGCCCGGCATGGCGGGGGCCGGGGCCAAGCCGGGCCGGACCCGGACCTAAATGCCTCTGTTCTTCTCCGCGCTGTTGGTCTTGCTGCTGGTTGCGCTTAGCGCTCTCTTTCTAGGCCGGTGAGGGACTCCCGGCCGCGGCGGTGGCGGCGGGAGGGAGGGGGCAGAGAGGAGGAAGAAAGACTGAGGAGGGGGCGCGCGCCGGAGTGAGACGCGGGAGGCGGAGTGGGTAGGGTTGAGGAGTGGGCGCGCGGCAGGGGAGGCATCGTGTGGGGGCGCGCGGCCTGAGCTGCAGGGAATGGGCTGCCAGTGGGGGAGACTGAGGAAGCGGGCGGGGCCTGAGGAAATGCTGAGGCCAGAACTGAACAGCCGTGTGAGGAAGGGGCCTGGTTCAGTGGCCTCGCTTTCCCCCTCTTCCCCTCCCCCCCGCCCCGAATGTCCTTTTTGCCAAGCGCGAAGGGCACCTGCAGCATGGGTCTGGGGAGAACAGCATTGTAGCTGCCGGATCTGACCTCAAGGTGCCTTCTCTCGGATACCTATCTGGAGGGTGGGAGCAGGAGACGGAGACCCTCTGGGGAGTGTGATGGCGTGACGGCATATCTGACAGAGCCGCCTCCGCTTTGACTCCTGCTGGGGCCTTCTGTCTTTGCCTCTGGGATTCCTAACAATTTGAGAGAGATTTTTTTTTTCATCCCCAACTTAGAGGGTGGAGTTTCTGGTTTTCTCTGGGTGGAGGGGTCAGTCGAGAGCTAGGATCTTGATCAGCGTCGCTGAATGTCTATGACAGAGTGGTGCTTTGGGAGAAAGGAGAGTCGCTCAGATCCAGTTTCAGGACACGACCGTTTTGCGAGGCTTTGTAAGACCAGCAAGGGGTGAGGGAAACTATCATTGGAAAAGGGTCCTATGAATAAACAGGCATTTTTCTGCAGGTGGCTTGTAGTCCGGTTGGCCACCAAGTGGTGTCAGCGGAAGCTGCAGGCGGAGCTAAAGATTGGCTCCTTCCGCTTTTTTTGGATCCAGAATGTCAGTCTTAAGTTTCAGCAGCACCAGCAAACAGTGGTGAGTTCTAGGAAACTATGGATATGTCTGTAGGGTTGACTCAGCTGAATTTAAACTCTTAATTTCCTTTTATTAAAAAAAGAAATTTTGGTGGCTTTTCTAGTAAATCCCAGCCTTGCCATTTCTTTGCCAAGATGATCTTAGAAGTAGTTGGAGAACGCAGGGATTGATGCAAGTTGTTCAGTTAAAAATGTTTATACGACACAGAATGTCCAGGTCACATAACAGAGATACAAAACAAAGATAACAGGAAATCGAAGAGTTTACTATTCTAATTTAAGAGGGGATTCGAGGCAACATGCCTATGAAAGAGAAATTCTAATAATCTGGAACCTTTCCTGGCTTGTCAAGCTGCTCATTGCTTATTTAGCAGCTAGCACACAGAGCTTTCTCCCTCACTATTTTAGGAAATTGATAACCTGTGGATTTCCAGCAAACTCCTTAGCCATGATCTTCCGTGAGTACCCTATATTCTCACTTCTCCCCTAAGGGAGTATTTTGAAGTTGGTGTTTGCAGAGTGAGATTCTTCTACAGAGGCCTCACAATCCAAGGAGGAAGGGATGTTCTTGCTGAAGTCTTCCTGTTAGCCTGGGTGCCATTATCTTATGAGACAGATATTGATAACTGCTATGAGACTAACCTCTGGTTTGAGCTATATTTCTTGGAAGGATGAGAAAGTGAATGTGAGGGTGGGGAATAGATTGCTATGGGAGGGATGGGCCTGGTGGCAGTGAGATTTCTCTTCTGGGCAGACACTA